TATTGAATTTCTTAAGTCCATGTTTCTAATACTTATGCTTTGATAATCTTTTATCAAGGCCTCTTAAGCTTATACACCTTTGCTTTAGATAGTTCATATGTGTGTCTAAACTATTAAGACTAATTGCCAAACCTCACAATTCAAATCATGGAAAGGGATACCGTAACCATAATTGAATTTGAGAATGCAACTTTACAATCACTATCTTCTTAAAATCTTTCTTAGTGAAAGCATTTCTCACAATCATTTTCATGAAGGAGGAAATCTTATGACACTTAGATTTTACTGGTGTATATGTTCCTATCCATGTGAATTTGAAAAAAAATTAGACAAATTCAAACTCATATGGACCGAACTTTCTTAATCTTGATTTCTTGCCTTATGGTAGCACAGCTGCTCACCACGTCTTCCAAGTAGTTAAGCAGCTCACCTTTTCCTATCAATGTACCTTTCATTGATTCAGGTGCCTTGCCTTTTATGCGTTCAAAATGAGAACTCATAGAACTCTCATGCAGAATTAACTCGATTGGATTGGCACAGAATGTCATTACGATAAGTTGTAAACCTTAACTCGTGTGCTAGTGATGATGATAAGGTTTATTGATTTGTTCTTGAAACCTTTCAAGACCATTAAGACTCCCACTTACTCCTTGACATATAAGATTCTTCTTGTCAATAAACATTTCTTGAGAAACAAATTTCAAGAGTTAGTGTAGCTTGTATCAAAACACTTCATAAATTGGTCCTAGTTGGCCTTTGTCTTATCCAAGACATCACAACTTTCCACATTTGATGAATGTTGTAAACCTTTAATACTTTTCACTCATTGTCACAATCTTAACTTTAAAACTTGTTATTGGAACGAAGTATGATAGACTTCTTGATCTAACCATTTCTTCAATCCTTGATTCCTCTTCTTAAACATACAATTGTACTAAGACTCACTTAGAGGATCAATTGAGATATGGTTCTTAATCATTAAGACTTATCATAAAGCATAAAAGCTATACTATCCCTTCTTCTTAGATGGAGAAACTCTTATCTTTCTGTCTACTTGATTCTTCTTATTCGTTCTACTATTGATCTAAACCCTTTAATCAATTCAGAATCACACTTAATCTTGTAAGTGTAATCATATTTACTAAGCCTTTAGTAAATCATGACGAATATCTTTGTTACTCTTATGGTGAACTTGATCAACACACAACTTTGTGTACTCGATCTCCTAGTCCTTCACTTGACACTTTGTCAACGAATTTGTCTAATTTCCAAATATGAAATTTCTCATTCATCATGCAACCAAGTTGCGTGATTCCAAATTTCAGTCCAATTGAAACTTTGGGCGATGAGAAACTCTCCCTATTTGGTAAATTCTCGACATTCCCATAAATAACATAACTAAGAATCATATCCATTCGTTGTAGAAATATGCAAACATCAATTTTCATAACGATTTCATTGCAAGGAAGTAAACAAATAAATAAATAAGTCAAACAAAATTTATTTTATTTATAAAAGCAGCGGAAAAACATTTGTCCTTACAATGCAAAATCTATTGAAAAACTATGTAAAAGGAAAATTTCTAACAACTCTATCATAACTATCTAAGCTCAAAATCCAATCTTCAAGTCCATGCGATCAAGATCCATCTCTTGTGATTAGATTCATCTTGCTCTCTTATCAAGCTTCCTTTCTTTTCACCGATCCTTCAAAACATTCAAATGCAATCTTATCACATCATGTATTAAGAATCAATGAATAGGAACTTAACGGAGTTAGATAGTGGATTTTACCTGAAGCGTGGTCATACTTTTGACTCTCCCATCTCTTAGATCTCTTAGGTAAATAGGGTAACTTCGTCTCCAATGCCCCTTCTCTTGGCAATAAAAGCAAATTGACTCTTTTGGAACAACACATGGAACTACTTCAGACATCGCCTTTCTCTTGTGATCAAACTTTTCGATCATTGCATGTCTTTCATTGCCATTGTCTATATCCATAGAGGTCTTGAAGGCAGATTCACCAATTAACTTTGCTTTTCTATTGCGCCAAACCATTGCTGATTCAGCAGCAATAAGCATATAGGTGAGATCAATAAGGGTCACGTCGTGGTTCATCATATAGTACTCTCTTACGAACTCACTATACGAGTTAGGAAGTGACTGAAGAACCCAATCAACAGCCATCTCTTCACTGACAACGGATCCCATCATTCTTAACCTATCAATGTGTGACTTCATCCCTAAGACGTGTGCACACACCGACTTTCCTTCTTTATGTTTACTTGCCAAAAGGGCTTGAGTGACATTGAACTTTTCAATTTTATAATCATGTGGGTTAGAAGCATGATTTCTTGTTCCTCGATCGAATCGTGGAATTTTATCTTCATGTGGAATGCTTGTTCCACGGGATTTGGGAAGACCATAGTTGTCGAACTTTGACATCAACAAAACGGGAGAAAAACAAATTCAAGTTAGCTGATAGATTGATTCCTTAGTAAATCACCCAAATGAAATACTAAGGCTAGGACCCAACACAATATTCTACAACTCGGGAGAGGGATGCCGTAACCCTAATTGCAGAATATTTGAAGGTAAGTGAATGACGATTCACTAATTTCCACCACGAAAAACGAAAAAGAAATTTAAGTTTTAAATCTATGAAAATTCCTAGATCCTTTGAGATTCATTGAACTTTCAATGGCATGTTTAAATCTCGATATGCCCCTCTTGTTTGTGACTGGGATGCCGAGGATCACAAAGCGGGTGTGAATAACCATGCAAACTTACACGGTGCCCTCACATGTTACAATCACCTATTCGATGTGCCGGTAAACCACACACGCTCCACCGAACTATGACAAACATTGAGTCACCCTTTGCTACCTTTGCTTAGAACCATTTAGTGTGCCGGTAAACCACACACGCTCCACTAACGTCTTCGCAAGGGCACAAAGTGTAATTTCATGGAATTGCATCAATTCACTTTTGCCTAAGTAACTAAGATTGGGAATTCGAAAAACATTTAGTTACTTTGTATTTCATTATACTTATAATGGAAGGTTTCGTCCTATCCTACCCGTTCGGCTAACGACCCTCCACTAGTCAAGAGTGCGGTGGGTAAGAGTGGATACCCATTCAATCGCCATATTATAGGCAATTTCCTTAAACACCCCTTATAGACCAGCTTCGTGAATGAGGCCTACTAACGGTAAGACTGACTTTTACTCATACATATATATATATATATATATATATATATATATATATATATATATATATATATATATATATATATATATATATATATGTTAGACTATAGTATAGGGTGCATTTTACACTTTTAAAATATTAGGTGATCAAATTTAACAATTATACTTTTAATTCAATTAAATTGTAAACCTAAACTTTTATGGATTTATTAAACTTCCTTTAATTATACACCTTAATTGATTAATAAAACCATAAGGGTGTGATTTGAACTTTTCAAAACATTACTAGGGTTTTAGAATTTAACATTCCTAATTAAACTTTTAATCAACTTTTAAATTCCAAAACTTGAGGGCAAGTTTTGAAACATTTCAAAACAATTTAGTTTTAATCTATCTTAAAATTTCGAATTTATGACATTTAAATTAAAATTTTAAATATTAAAACTCTTGATTTAATAATTATCTTGAATTAGACTATTAATTTAATTATTAAATCATAAGGGAGTATCTAAATAATGAGGATAATTACCATTTAGACATTTAACTTATCCTAATCCCTTAAATATCTATATAGATTTCGAAAATATGGATGGATAATGCAAGATCTTGAATTACCATATATAACAATTAGAAGATAATTACAAGATATGGGATAATCCAAATCCCTAAAAATTAGGACCTTATCTTGGGGAGGAGGCAAATTTTGAAAATCAAGGGATTATAACAAACCCTAGATTTCGAAATTTAAAGGTTTAAGGAAAGGATTTGAAGATCTTATTCAAACTCTTGCAAATTAGGGTTTGCAAACCCTAATCTCGAAAAACCCTAGCCTCTTAAGGTTTATTGGCAATAAACCCTAATATATCAAGTTCATACAATTGAAACCAAACCAATGGCTCTGATACCACTGATGGGTTTTAGTCATAAGACATCCTATGTGCTCATACAAACCCTAATGCTTGGATCTAGGTTTCTCAATTGTACATGCTTTGAATCGAAGACTATAAACCCTAATTCTAGCATATAGAAATCAATATTAACATATAATTTGGTTTAAGATATTACCTTGATTGTTATGGAGCAATAACAATCCTAATTCCTCCTTGAATTGACTTTGGAATGCTTAGAGTCACAAGTGTCACTCCTCTAATGGCTTACAAACACCAAGAGCAAATGGAGAAGGTATAAAGAGAGAGGAGAGAGGTTAGAATTCGTCCTTAGGACTCCTTGGGACCAAGTACACGAATTCTAAGGCCTTAGGGTCTTTATATAGGTGTAGAGATAGGGTTTCAATCATTATCCTTATCTAGTTGCTTATCCACGAAGCAACCATAAGATAAGCCTTGAAAACCCTTATCCTTTATCCTTTGGACGATTTCAAGGATCCTTATCTCCTTGAATTCGTTCAACCCATATTTAGGATAACCATTACCATATTTTGTAACTATCATATAATTACAATTCAGCCCCTCTAGTTTAATTAATTACACTTGATCACAAAATTAATTCTTAATTAATTATTGACCAATATTAATTAAGCAAATATGATTTCTCCTTTAATATATTATTCTTATAACATATTAATAAATCATAATAACCTCTCTGTCTTTATTTATTTGTCCAATCAAGTTGCTTTGGTGAAGACAACCCAAAAGGACCATGCACCATCGGGTCAAGTACATACTAAAATAGTTATGGACTTAGACACTAATCCAACAGTATGGATGAATCCTAGAATTTGCTGCACAAATGAGTTGAAGATCGGTTATTGTTATATGTATGGCGACATATGGGGCAAGCCTACCATGGTAGTATGTGGCTAGACCGTGGAGGAAATTTGTGGCTGTGGTTGGACGGTGTGGGGGATCCAAGTCCCAATGCCATAGGTGTCCGGGAGAGACTGTTGTTGTGAGACATGGGTCCCATTTGGTTGTGTTGCAACAATTTGCAGAGTTGCAGTTACGATTGCAACTTGTGGGATTGAGTCGGTTGCAGGTTGCAATAGATTGGCCGCGGGGGTTGCTTTCGTCGCTGTTGTGGAGCTCGATGGCGTTTGTGAAATTGGTGTGAGGTTTTATGTGTGTTCTTCCTGAACGTAAGGTTGTCCTTCCTCTAGTGACTGCGTCGGATGCAACAGACTTTTCTCTAGCATTCCGGAAACTATTGGGATTTCACTTGCCATTGTTGCTCTGTGGATTTGTTTCGTGAGTGTATCGTTCTAGAGATACCCCCCGAATGATGCCAGATGTTGTGATATGTTGGAGATGGTAGTGCAAAGATTGCCGATAGGTTTAGTGTAGATGCCCTCTCCTGATATCACAGTACAAAAATGGAAAGTAGATCGTTAGTTGACGTCCGGGAGGGATTCCCAGGACGCAACTCTAACGATCTAGTTAGTGTTTGTTCTCAGAGAAGAGAAAGTATATTTTATGGAAAGAGAGTTCCCCTTCTTCACGAGGAAGAAGGATACTTGTATACCTGGTTCCTGAGGCATGTGGACTTCAACTGATTCTGTTGGACATTCCTTCGTAGGGCGTGACGTGGCGGACTCCTACTAGAAGATCCTTCATCACGTCTTTTTTGCATCCTCTCCTCATTAGCTAAAGGAGGATCTTTTAGTTATTACGGAGATTGTTGCTATCGTCAGACGAGCACGTGGGACGCTATGAATGGTCCCACACTCGCTGGGATGTTATCCCTTGGTGAGGAGGTTATAGCACTGCTCTGCACCATAACTGTCACGCCTATGTCTTTCGCATTAGTGAAGGCCCGACCTTTGCTTCAGACTTGGTCTGACTGAGTTCAGCTCAGGCCAAGATTGGTACTAGGTTTGACTTCTCTTTTTGAAGTTCCCTCTGATGGATACGTTAAGATATATATATATATATATATATATATATATATATATATATATATTATATATGTGTGTGTGTGTGTGTGTGTGTATGTGTGTGTGGGTGTATGTGTGTGTGTGTGAATCATGTATCAGAGCATGACAAAGCAAAAGAAAGAAGAGGATTATATGCCTTATAATCCTAAGTAAGATAATGTACTTGTCATTATACACTTAAGATCATGTATTTGAGCATATGTGTATAATCAAAGTTTGTAGATATGTATAGAGAAGGAATAAGAGTATTACGAGTAATACTCTTGAGAGTAGATACAGAAAGTATGGGATTATGTCTCGTAATATTATGTAAGAGTAGATGACGATAAAAGATATATGTGTATACCTAAGAGAGTTTAAATAAAGATATAGAAGGATTATATGTAATATAATCATAAGCATATGTATATGTGTCTAGACATGATGGTATTGTATAAAATACCTATAAACTAGACATAGAAAAATAACAAGTACCTAATGATTTAATTAATATAAGTGTAATAGAAGATCTCTTGAAGAGATAAAGAGATAGAATATCCGTGGTACAAGCATTATGGGATGAGTAACATAATAGAGATATGTAGAAAGATGATTCCTTCGGGAATGATATATATGTTCCTTCGGAGGCAAGATTATGATTCCTCAGAGAATAAGATTGATGTTCCTTCGGGGACAAGATTATGATTCCTTCGAGAATGAGATAGATGTTCTTTTAGGGACAAAGTTATGATTCCTTCAGAAATAAAATAGAGGTTCCTTCGGGGACAAGCGTAGGATTCCTCCGGGAATAAGATGATGGTTCTTTAGGGAACATAGATAGATGATCCATTTGGGGATGTTGATAGGTAATTCTTGTGGAAATTAAAGATTTTGTATGATTATAAAAGATAGAGAAAAAGTTCCATAAGTGGAACAAGGTAAAGGAGTTCTTTTCAGAACTTAAAAGTAATCTCTTAGGGATTAAGAGTAAGGAATCCGTAAGGGATTCAACAGAAAAAAATAAAGTGTAAAGGGATTTGTGAGGGATCGAGATGAGAAGTATGAGATGAAGAAAAAAGCGTAAGAGAAGAACAAGTGTAAAATATAAAGAATAGTAGAGAAAAGATGAGACGAAAGAGAGTATGGATGAGATAGAAAAAATAAGGGTATATTAGAGAAGAGGTAGAGGTAGATGTAGATATAGAGTATGTAAGGGTAAGATATGAGCCTGACAAAAGGCTAAGAAAGATAGAAGAGATAGATGAGTGGGAAGAATAGTAGTGTGTGCTATTGGAGGAGAAAAATAGAGTATAGAGTATGAGAATGAGAGAGTAAAATGCTAATGCATGAGAAGAGATAGAAATAAATGGTTACATGCGATAGGATAAGAAAGATTGACAGTCTATATCGCAAAAAGAAGAGTTTACAATGTAGAGTATGAGATAGAAGAGATGATGAAAGATGGAAATAATAGATGAAGATGAAAATACAAATTATATATCTCACCAGACATTGTTGTCTAATGTTATAAACATGTTTCATTTTTTACAGGTTATGGTAGTAGGAGTCGTCGTACCAAAAGTTAAAACAGGACTTCTAATATATTTTATTTCCTTGTTTCAATTTGTATGTATAAGTTTTTTGTAAACCCATGACTATCCTGAGATATAAAATGTTTTTATTTTTAAAAGTTAATAGGATTCCATAATTTTTTTGAAATAACTATGATAACCCATTAGATTAGATAGAAAGTCCGAGTTTCTAAGAACAGGTATTTTTAAAAGTTATAAGTTTTTTGTAAACCCATGACTATCCTGAGATAGAAAGTCCGAGTGATTACCACGTGAATATCCTTAATCTTCATAGCCCTATCGATCTATCCCAAACTATCCACGATCAAGTTTTTAAGAACAGGTTTCCATTATATTTGTTGGTGATTTCAATAACTAATTTTGAGCATATAATTTCGGAACCACCCAAGTTTTTCAACTCATCATCTATTAAACATTTGCTAACTTATTTTTCTTAGTTTGCTAACAATCAAATGCCATAAAACCTGATAAAGGTGAAAATATACATTTGTGCTTAAATGTTAAAAATGTTTTTTCTAAATATATAATTGCATAGACCTAACTAGATATATACAAATGAGCCCGACTAAGGATTACATCATACATTTTAAATCGAGTTTGATA